AAAAAAAATTATTGTAATACACAGATCATAGGACATTTAACAGCAATTAATCCCTGAAAATTCAAAATTTACTAACATTAGAGCATTCTAGGTTTGCCATTGTATTGTAATTAAAAAACTAAAACAAGAAATCTGTTTACTTCACAAGAGTAATATTGATTCATTCATGTAATGTAACACTCCACAGTATGTTCTTACTGGTGATAGCATCCACCAGAAAAAAACAAAACACGTTCTACTAATTTATTTCAATAACTTGCTAACATTAAATGTAGTCCTGTGATATTTTATTCTTCCTACAAGTGGAACAGATTGTATTAGTCTAATCAGTTTTTTTCTCCAGTTTTTTTACCTTTTTGTCTCCTCTTCTACCTAGTGACTTAAAGAATCCCTTTACCCAAACTTCGGTATTGTAAAGATAAGCGATTATTATATTCTTTTTCTAGTGGAAGTGAAACAAATATATATTTTTTTTCTCTTAGCAGCAGTTTGTCTCACCCGGCACTACTTTTTAAGCATACCAAAAAAGTTCAATTGAATTTTTAAACTTTGTTCAAAACAAAGTCTTAGGTTCTGGAAAACACATCCACTGGGCCAATACTCAGTTTGTAGACCTCTTAATCCCACATTTCATGCTATTGCTATGCTTCTACCATCGACTATGTGTGCCTCATTTATCTCACAAATCCATTGTTTTACCCAGAAAAATGCAACATAATGGGATAAAGTGAAGTTACTGTGAACTTGTAAGATCTTGTGGATATTCTCAAAACAATCTTAAAACTTTTTGCCTCCTCTTGCATAGAAACTTTACCTCAGCCGCCTGTCATTCCTGTCTAATGGAGTTCATGTTGTTTCTTTGCTGTCAAGTGCTGGCTTCAAGGTAAAAAGCATAAATGCATAACTGCTGCAGTGTCTTTCACAGAAATTATGGAAGAGGAAAGGGAAAAGAAATATTGCTGTTCTCACTATAGAAAAATCTGCCACAGAGAAAGCAATGGGCAAGTGAAAAATACTGAGTTGTGAGGATAAATACCCAAAGATTCTATGAAGCTCTATCCTAGAAATTCCTAAATCAAATGTATTTTTAAAATTTATTGTTTAGTTTAAAAGACCCAAAATGTCTGAATCTCACTGTACTAAAGCCATTAAAAAATTTGCCTTTAAATTTCCCGACAATTGCAGCACATGAATTAGGGATGTATTAGCAACTGGTGGTTCTTTATAGAGCACATGATTTTAGATTATTTTCTTAGATTCTTTCACGGTGTAATTTCTTTAAAAGCTACATGACCAGATGGATACTGTCATCCTAAAATTCTTTAAAAGAGATGTTAAAGACTAGAAATCAATATCAATTACCACCGAAATTAATACAATTTAAAAGTTCATGGAAAGGCAAATAGTTCATAGCTGAATTGAACAACTGAATTGAAAACTCTTACTTGGAGCATTAGCAAGAAAAGAAGCAGTAGCTTGTTCCCTTTTTTATTTGGCTTTGGCCAGCCATCCAAATTGGCAACAAAAAGATGTAGAACCTTATCAGTTCATAGAGGAATTTGAGTTCCCAAACCCAGGTTCAATTTGTACATTCAGATTTCAGCACATGAACTTCAGTATCAGGATTGCTTAGACAAAACCTCAAGTTCAGTATAATACTTCTGATTTTTGAGGCTATTGATAAAAGTGGTGAATTTTTAATGCAGATGCAATTCAAATGACTCAAGTTGGAGAGGAATCCATCTTCAGAAATGAATGATCCTTATAGATTCATCACCTCATCAATTACAGTGTGATATTAAGTCACTTCCAACAGTGCATTTGTATAGTATGCATTTTGGTTTCACACCAGCATACAAGCCCATTCATGTTGTGCAATTTTAATGCATTTCATCTCATATGAGAGCGCACTTCTTGGGACCTAAAGAAATTAAAATTAGCAGAATCACTCTCAGTATCCTTAAAACACTGGAGGACACTTGTGTTAACCTCCTGAAGATGAAGAAAAAGAGTGTGTACCTGAGGCTTGTCTGTTAAAGAAAATCTGAAATTAAGTAAACTACATCCGTCAGCACATAGATTTTTTTTTAACCTCTTCTTAATAGTCAGAATATAATTTTCTCTATCTCTGCATTAAAATTTTAACTGTCTTTTTGCATAATAATGAGTTCTAGATCATATTGTACAATAATCGCAAGTCAAACCACTGCAGGAAAAATGTGTTTGCTTGCAGACACCATGTTCCAGACTCCACTCAGTTAGCAACATTGCCTTTTAAAAACGGTGATCACGTCAAGGCATTTTGGTTTTGCTTCTACTTCTGCATTTCTGTTATCTCCTTGCTAGATACTGGCTACGCAGCTGATTCTGCAATTCAGTCACATCACGTTTGCATCAGATACGGACATGTTAGATCATGAGAGAAGAGTTTTTGACAGTATGCCTATAAAAAAACTAATTGATTATGGGTTCAACAAGGTATTTTGGAGCCCATATTCACAACTATTAGATACATATGGGAACATAGTACATGTTACTCACATTTTTGGGGTTTGACGAATCAGATAATTTTATTCAGCCAGTTTGTATGTGAAAAAGTAAAATAATTCAGATTTTCTGATGGAGACTAGTATGCTGCTTCTTTTTGTCAAAAATATCCAGGCATTTCTTTGGGAGATATATTCAGAGAAACTCGCTTTTGCCTCTCAAAGACACCAATGACAGGATATCAGGATATCTATCTATCTCCTTAGGTATCAAGTATGAACTCACCACCCTAGGGTCCTTTACCAGTCAAAGGAAAGACAGACATGTTCTGAGGGAATTGATTTCATTATAAAATGGATGTCAACAGTAAATAATAAGATTCACTCTGGATTTTCTCCTTTAACATATCTAAAGTTAGGCGAGAGAAATCCCACCAAAATCTACAGAGCCCAAATTTGATGCAAAGGTAAAGGAAATGCTTTAATAAACAATCTAGCTGTTTTAGTCCTTTTTTCTGATTCTTTCTGTTTCCTTCTTTTTCAAAAGGTAGATAGATATGAGAAACATCACGCAAGTAAATATTTCTATGAGCTACATGGTATTTAAACGAAAGAAATTATTTTCTGTAACATCTAGATAGGAATAAGAAGTTAATTTAAACTAAAAATCGGTCAATTTATCCAAAGAATTAATTAAATTCCTTAACTCTGTTTCTTTGGCACTAGATGGCACAGTAAGGGAGAATGACTGTTAAGTGCCTCTTTCAGGAAAAACATCAACAGTATGTGCATGTCAATAACCATCTTGTAAAGAAAGAAAATACAGGGACTTCTAATCGCATCTAATAATTCTTCTGTGCAAGAGTTTGGGTTTTTTCCCTCTTTGTGTTCTCAAGGTTTCTTATATTCACTTATCATGTATGCTGTCAAATAACTAATTCATTCTGGCAACTGACAATTTAAAAGAATATTACAGGAAGGAGAGTGTCATTGTTTTCCATAAATTCATAAGAGCTGGGAACAAATAGGACAATTCTAAAAATAAATTCATGGATAATTATCATAAGCCATGATTCTCATGGCTACTTTACAGTATGTCTTTGGGATAAAGTACGTATAAAGAGTGTCAAAATAACTGCAAAATTTAGGCTATTTACCTCTTATAAAACATTAGATAAATTCTTTTTGTATTTTATGGAAACTAGTGTAGAATTAAAAACTGTACTCTGAAAAGAATCCATATAATACCATTGCATTGCCAAAATTCAAGTTATGCTAAGTAACCATAATTATAGTCTCAACAGAGCTGAAGTATTTCAAAACACCTGTAAAATTTAGGTGTCTCTCTCTATTGTTACAAGCAAATAAATCCACTGATTTAAGTAGCAAGAACCATTTGTAGACTGAGGGAAAGATGGCAAGAGAAAAACCCCAGAAGCCTCAATTGTCAGAATGCCTAGTGAGACAAGAAAGGTTCTACATAGCAACAGCATTTTAAGGATGAATAAATAGCCATAAAGTTCTCTGGTACTGCATGGAAGCTTGCAGATGGCAGATGAATTCATGTCTGTCATGTTTTTATAATACAATGACTTTTACATATTGCTGCCAGATGGAACACAGTTTTGCATCTTGATTATAAATCTCTAAAAAATACAACTTCCTTCAATGTGCTCCCTATATTTGAAACAAAAGCAAATTCAGAGACAGATTTGGGAAGCTAAAGCAGATTTAAGGAAATATAAATTAAATCCTCAAGGGCTTCCTTGTTATAACTCAATTCAAAATAATGGATTTCTCCATGTGTTCTCTGTTTTTCAGGAAAATGAGGGAAGGCATCATACAGATTTCTATACAGGGAGAACTACATGTTCATTTTTAAATGTCGGTACATCTCAGGGAGGTCCAGAAGACCTCTCAATTGAACTTAGTATTTGGAAAAACTTCTACATAACATTTATTCCTGCTTCAATAAAAAGTGATATCTATTACACAAGCTCAGATTGTAAGAGTGCAGTGTATGAAGAATAAATGCAATTTAATCATTGCTGATAATGAACATCTGTATCTACACCACAGAAGCACCTTGCCTTTCCCATTGTGATAAACAATACCTACACAGACCTAAAATCTAATTCTAATTCTGCTTATACCAGTTTTTGTAGAGATGTACTGTGAAGAAAGTACAGAATTTTTGTATTTTATATGTTTTCCTGCATCACACCTGGCTTCCTCCTGTGTGTCTGGTCTTTGCTTCTAATCCTAATTGGTATTGCTAAGAAGAGAATCACTCTGATAGTGAAGTGAATTATATGACTGTAGGGAAGAATATTTTCCCATTCAATGGTTTCTCACAGAGTCTGATTTGACGACAAACTTGAGTTGACTTCTCTCAGCCAGCCTCAAGCATTGTTTATACACAGATAATTCTGTGTGTGAACCCATTAGGCTTTTATGACAGTTATAATCAAATATGATTGGGAAACCTTCTGGCTTACTTGGATCCATACTTACATTGTGCTTTGTGAGGTTGGAAATGTTACTTGCTATTGCTTGTAGCCAGTCAATACAGTCTTCAGCAGAGAGACACTGAATTATTCCACTGCAAACCCCATCCACAGCAATTACTTGGAACGCGTTTTGCCTATAGACATATCATAACAGATCAGGTCAGAAGAGAATTTTATCTTTTCTAGCATATCATCTTAACAATACTTGTAGAAATGCTTTTCTTTCTACTACAATGAAGGTCAGCCAGTGAACACCAATAAAATGCTGGTTTTCCTGTTTTATAAATACCTGACATATTAAAACAATCAAGTTAAAAGTTCAACTCAGACAATATTAAGCTTCCATAAGGCTATAAAAAAAATTCCATAGACCAGCTCCACAGAACCCTGACCATCAGGCTGTACAACTTCAGAAGCTGATAAGTGAAAGAGCTGATACATATCTAAGACTTAATACTTTAATACAACAGGCAACAGAGAAGGGAAGTGCATTGGAAACCATAGGCAATAATTTGGGAAATTCAGTGAACACCAGTATATATTTCTCAACACCTTTGTTTTATTTTTATAATACAGTGTCTAAACACAGTTGGATTACTGTCTGGAGGCCCCTTGTTGGCTGCTTAAGCTTAGAGAATTTTGTTTCTCTTCTAAACTGCTGATTGAAAACTTGGAGAAGTCAAAATTGATCAGGTAGCATTAATGATTTTTCCAATTGCATTTCTGAATATAGGATCATTACCAAAATACACTCCTACCTCTGCCTCTAACCCCATCTTCAATCTCGGCACATACACAACAATCTATCATGCATTATAGACTGATTTTCCACTTCCAGGAACTGAGCAATTATAGAACAAGAGAAAATTTCTAACATGCTAAAGTAGTAACAGACCTAATTTCTTCAGTAAATAGCCTAAAAGCTCTTGACAGGTCTCTGTCTTCAAAACTGAAAAACCTCAATAATAATCCATATCCCAGAGTAGGAGATTACTGAACATATAGAGAATACCAAGTTCCACTGTTGACATTCTGCTACAAACCCAACTGTTAATGATCAATTAATAGTTTAAGTGCATCATTCAGATTCTTCGAGAATGGCTCAAGCAATGTGCCTGTTATCTTCAGGGTAAAACTGAGTGTCACTAATGACAGTTTCTGGCATATGGAAACAGATCTCAATTTTGAAAAGCTGTTTGTTTGGGGTCTTTTACCTCTTAAAATTTTATTCTAGCTGTATAGAATGTAAGGCTAATATCTATCTTCACTCCATCCTTGTTGAGAACAGACTGTTTCTTCAGACAAGAGAAGAATAAAAATGAAATAGAGCCGTGCCTTTGCTTTGAGTGTTCTAGTATGAGAACCAGCTTTTGCAGGATAATGAGGCTTATATTAACATGATCTTGCAGGGTTCTGTGGTTTATTTAAATCCAGCAGTTTAATTGTCTTTCCCAGGGGCAGTGATTTTTCTTTAAATTCACAAAAAAAGACAAGACAGACTTCTTTCAGAGACCCATTTTTACAGTAATTCTGTAAAATTTTGAGGAAGATTTATTAAAAGAAACTTCATGTAATGTTGCTAGCATTTATTTATTATATCCTTTATTTTAGATGGCTATATATATAAATAGCAAAATTTTCCAGAATAAATTTCTAAATCCTTACATGAAGACCTTAGTATGAGCTCAAAATTGTTGATTATCTCTTTTAAGGAATAAAACACTGATTTCAGGACTTGCCTTGTCAACACAGTCTACCATAAATCAAAGCAGGGATCCAAGAGATCTATTAATGTGTAACATTAACACAAGTACAAAAACCCCAATATGTTCCAGATTCAATCCTCATGCACAAATTTCCCTTACACTACACAGTGAATCTGGTGCATTTGGGGCATCAGATTATTACTACTGTTTCTAGGAGTTTGATCTGTGCAAGTACAAAATCATTTGTCCATAATGTTGTTACCCAAGCATCAATGCCAAATTACCCAAATATCAATAGTATGATACATGGTTACCTAATAAATTACTTGTGAATGTGTCTTGGCAGTAGATAGCCTTAGATTATTGCAATTGTATTTTCTTGAGTAAGTCTACCCAGCCCAAGTCCATAATACCATGCAAACCTGAAACCATAAAGTATTAAATAGATGTTTTGTACTAAAAGGAACAATTAGTAGATTCATCACTTCATAATACACACATCAAAAAAAAAAGATATTGGATATTGGATAAACACTTATTCAACTACATATTTCAGGTTCTGGGCCTTCTGGAACACAAAACCTATAATCGAAATTAATAAGTTTTGCAGGATTAACCTGAATGTCTTCTAGAATTATGTATGAATACCCTTCAGAATTTACGCGTCTCAACCATTCCACATGACTATGAGGTTTACTATTGTACATGAGAACAATATATTTCTATATCAAGCTCTGAAATATAAAGTTATTAGGCTTTACATAGTGAAAACAGCCTCATAAATACTAACTATGAAAAATGTAATGAATTAGCTTTCATTTCATGTTGCTGCCTTATATTATTTTTATTATACTTTCTTGTGTGTTGATGTTTCTAGCAATCTCTTATAAAAAGTATCTACCATTCTCTCATAACAAATTCTGAGAGGGAGTAACATTTAAAAATGTTTACAGTAATTTAAAATAGTCTTCTAAATTGTCTTGCTAGCAACATAAAATGTTGTTTCTATGTTTTAAGAAAAACTCACTTCCTCTCTCATACACAGCCTGCATTTTTGGTTTTTTTGTTTGTTTTTTTAAAGACATGCTTCTTCATGTTCGATAGAATAGAAGGACACAAGGTAAAAATTATCTGAGTAGTTTTTCAAGGTTTGAGTACGAGTTCAGGTATTTTGTTTCATATTACTAAACTCTTATTTTCTAGAAATTCAAATCTCAGCAATATCATTACTACCTAAGACACTTCCTTTGTTATGTACAAGTTGTATAATATGAAATTTAAGCTGTTTTTTTATAGATGCAGAAGACTGAATTTTAAAACTCAAGATCTAGGAACAGCTGCTTATGTGCTAATTTTCCATGTGAGCAGTTCTATTAAATTCAGGACCTTATCTGAAGTGTACAGTAGAATAGATCTCAGATCTGTTATGATTTTGTGTACTTTATGCTTCATTGTTAAATATGGAGCAGAAGGCTTTCAGAGAATTTAGTAAAACACCTCCTGCCTCTCTGGTGACTTTATTCTGCTACAATTCAGTTCAGCCAAGAAGCCTTTGTAGCCTTTGGTTTACACCTTGCCTCCCTGGGCAAGCCATTGTTCCTCAACAGACCAAGGCTCATGCTGCCAAGTAAATATGATCCTGCAAATACCAGTCCAAAACTGCAGGCTGGCTTTAGCTCCACAATGATCTACAAGAACTACTGCCTAACCTGCATTAGTTTCAGCTCTGTGAATAGGAAAAATGGCTGGCAGACCCAGGCATTGTAATTCTAAGAAACAATAGCCCTAAGAACCAACTGAGGCAGCGGTTGCTTTTGTGCAACTTTCAAATGTTTACTGAGCATTAAAAAGAAAAAATAAAATTAACTCCACAAAAACCCCAAACAGATGAAAGAAGACTTCTCTTCCTCCGGCTTCTGGGGTTTTCATAAATCCACTCCTAGGGGATTGATTACAAGAAATTATGGAGTACCCTGCTCGGTACCTGTACACAGCTTTCCTACAGATAATGTCTTTACCTACTAGAGCTCATAGAAGTATTTCAGTACGAGAGCTTCATTCTTACATATACAGATGATAAATGAATCCGTACAATAGCTAGATTTTTAAAACTTTTAAATAATAAAGTATTATCTCATACACTTCCCTTGTTGGACTTTGTAACTACTTTCATTTCTATTTCATTGCTTTACAAACAGTAATCATTACAGAATATTTTTGTCTTCCCTCATTATTTATTCTGATTTACTAAGACAATATTAAATTAAACAACGTCAAATTCTAGGTCTGTATTAGGTCTTTCTGAGATTAATTTTATTCTCCCACAGCAGCCCTCATAGTGTTGTGCTTTGTATTGGTAGCTTGAAACAAAAATGTTTTGGCTACCATTAATCAGTGGTGGCACAGCATCAGAGCTATTGCTCCATCCTTCCCTCCTCACCAACAGGCTGTGGAAACAAAATCTTGGGAGGGGAAATAGCCAGGACAGCTGACCCAAACTAATCAAGGGGATATTCTATGCCATATGACATCTGCACAGCAATGAAAGATAAGAGAAAGGAAGGGAGAGAATCCATTAATTAGTTATCACACTTGTCTTTCAGAGCAACTACTACATGTACCAAAGCCCCACTTCCCAGGAAGTGACTGAACATCACCTGCAGATGGGAAGTAGAGAACAAATATTTTGGGTATTTTGCTTCCATGTGTGGTCTTTACTTTTGCTTTATTACACTGCCTTTATCTTGACTCACCAGATTATTTCCATCTCATTTTCTTCCCCTCCATCCTGTGGAGGAGGGGAGTGATAGAGAGGCTTGGCTGACACTTGGCATCCAGCCATGGTCAACCCATCACAATGATGCACTAAAGTTAAACCTGACTATGAGCTTTGGACAGCTACCCCAGTGATTGTAACAAATTGGCAATGAAATTAAATGCCAACATATGCAAAGTAAAACATGGGAAAAAATAACCTTAGCTATATGGAAATAAGTAAAAAAATAAAGTCCTTACTGTAGTTATAAACATAAATCAAAGAAGTGCAAGAACTAGGAGATGTTTATCAGCTCAGCATCTTGCTCATGGTCCTCAACTGAGTATGGTCATAGCTACTTCTGTGCCTGGACATGTACCCCACTGATTTGGACCTCTAGGCTGACTTCTCTGTTTAAACTGAGCCCCACCTAACCCTGATGGACTCCTCTGAAGACTGTCCCTAAGCCTTCTCTGTTCCTCCACGGAGAGCAGTGGGATAGGATCTTTGTTGGCATGGACAACACCTTGTCCTGCCTCACTGCCACCCTCTTTCTTGGCTTATCTTCCCCATGGGGCAGCCAGACCTAGCTGCTCTCAAACAAAGATTATTTCACCCAATGTAGGTATCAGATGATGTATTTTAGACAAACAGAAGGAAATAAATTTTTAAAATATAACAACATTGCAGAGCTCAATGTCAAAATACATTGCAAAAATCAAAGACATAAAACAAGCAACTTAGAAAGATTTTTTTGAGGATAGGAACATTAGTAGCTATTAAATACGATGATGTATGTTTCATCTCAAACTGCAAAAGGTGCTGAGCACTAGATGCAAGTAGAAAGAACACCCATCATCTCCCCACATACCTGGTCCCAGTTGGTATCAAAGAATCAATAAACCAAGGTGGACCTAGAAAGACCTTTATGAAATCTCCTGTATTTCATGTCTCTGTCAGCTGCCATGGAATCAATAATGCAATTCCTTCAACAATGCAACTCCCTAGGGCATGCATCTGTCAATCAAGAAGTCAAGTTTCAACCTTCAGAACTTCTTTACCTGCACAGATCTGATCCTGGAAGGTACTGGGAAAATCGTGAATGAAGAAGTGGAATTAATCGAAGATCACACCACCTTTTCTCCCACCTAAGTCCTGGGGATGCGGGCCATGAGGAACAAGATAATGTATCCTGAAAAACATTAAAAGGTCCTTCTCAATTTTGAACTTCATTGTAAATACTCAGCAGATTTGGAAAGAATGAGATAGACTTCAAAGACTTTCATTTGGCAGTGTTCCATTTTCCCCAAATCACTTGTCATTAGTTTTAGTGAGCACTGAAAAGATTCTGAATAGGATCTCTAAATTATTCACAATACAACCATAATTCAGTTATTTCCTGTGGCTCTGTACACATTTACATACATATCTTCTCTAAAGATATCACCTCAAAACCTGGTAATTGGGAATGGAATTTAACATGTGATGAAAATTGTGAAAATTGTCAAAACTACATGCTTGTGATGAATATTTTAATTTTACCTACTTACAGAAGACATTGCTTATATGAAAACTGACCTTTATCATGTTTATAATCACATCTACAAAGAATGAGTATTTAAATATCTAGTCCAATTTGACCAGTATTTTTAAAGAATATAGATTTGCATGAGAAATGTGTATAAAAAGTTAAATTATCAACATCTGTTTCTAAAAATACACCTCTTTCATTATAAAATACTTTATAAAATAATGCTAATGATGGTGTTACTTTTCTGAAAGAGCGTGATTCTTCAAAGTGCCTTCTCACAGCAACAAAGAATGAGGAAAAGGCTGAGGTATTTAATGCATTCTTTACCACAGTCTTTAATAGTAAGGCCAGTTATTTGTCTGGTAGCAAACCTCTGAGGTGTGAGACAGGGATAGGGAGTAGAGTGAAGCCACCATGATCCAAGGGGAAATGGACAGAGATCTGCTGCAGCAGTCAGGCACACACAGGTCTATGTGGCCAGATGGGATCCACGGAAGGACAGTGAGGGAGCTGGCACAGGAGCTCAGCGAGTCACTTTCCATCATTCACCAGCAGTCCTGCCTAACCAGTGAGGTCTCAGTTGACAGGAAGTTGGCAAATATGATGTCTATCTACAAGACAGGCTAGGAGGAGGATCTGGGGAGTTACAGGCCTGCCAGCCTGCCCTGGGGCAGGTCATGGAGCAGATCATCTGGAGCCATCCCACACCATGTACAGGACAACCAGGGAAATCAGGCCCAGCCAGCACAGGTTTATGTGAGGCACATCCTGCCTGACCAGCCTGATCTCCATTTATGACCAGGTGACCAATCTAGTGCATGAGGGAAAGGCTGTAGATGTTGTCACCCTGGACTTCACTAAAGCTTTTGGCACAGCATTCTCCTGGAGAAACTGGCTGCTCATGGTTTCAATAGGTGCACAGTTCACTGGGTGAAAACCTGGCTGGATGGATGGCTCAGAGAGTGGTGGTGAATGGAGATACACCAGCTGGTGGACAGTCATGACTGGTGCTGTCTAGGGCTAAGTGCTGGGGCCAGCACTGCTCAATATCTGGAAGAGGGGATCAAATACACCCTGAGTTCACAGCTGACAAAAAGCTGGATAGGAGTGCTATCTGCTAGAGGGTAGGAAGGCTCTGCAGAGGGATCTGTACAGGCTGGATCAATGGGCTGAGGCAAATCATATGAGATTCACAAAACAAAGTTCCAGGTCCTGCACTTTGGTCACAACAACCCCAGACAGCACTGGGAGGGAAAGTGGCTGGAATCCTGTATGATGAGAAAGGACCTGGACGTGCTGGTCAATAGCAGCTGAACATGAGCCAGCTGTGCCCAGGTGGCCAAAAAGGCCAATGGCATCCTGGCTTGTATCAGAAATACAATGGCCAGCAAGACCAGGACAGTGATTGTTCTCCTGTATATGGCACTACTGAGGCCTCAACTTGAGTGCCATGTTCTGTTGTTTGTCCCTCACTCCAGCAAGGACATTGAGGTGCTGGGATATGTCCAGAAAAGGGCAACATGGTTGGAAAAGGGTCTGGAGCACAAGTCCTGTAAGGAGCAGCTGAGGGAGCTGAGGTTGTTTGGTCTGAAGAAAGGAAGATTCAGGGGAGACATTATCACTCTCCACAACCACCAGAAATGAGGCTGTAGCCAGGGGTTGGCCTCTTCTCCCAAGTAACAAGTGACAGTATATCAATATATCACTAAAATAAAATTTAAAAAACCCTGCTGATTTACATGATTTTTAATCTCAAATTTCATATTGTTTCTTACTGGTATCTTCCATAATATAAATATTAGAAAAATTAAGTACACTTTCTATTTTTCTATTTTGTGCATTTTGAGTAAGATTTATGGAATTATAAAGATTTAACAATTTGAACTTCACTTTTACGTATATGTTCATAAATCTTTCATGTATATGAAACAAAATATCACAATTAATATCATGTTATCTGAGTAGTAGGCTTTTCATTGGTAGTTCACTTATTTAAAACACTGAATCTCAGGTGAAAAATGACATAAATTCAATAAAAAAAAATAAATTATTGTCTAGGAAGACTATGCTAGGATGTTGTTTTGAACATCTTGCATTTTTAATGTTTTCTCTCTGCTTTTAGGAACCTTTCTTCACCTGTGATTAAACTTGGAGAAGAGATGAAATGCAGTAAAATTTCAGATACAAAGTGTAGACCTAGATATGACTACAACAAAAATGTTAGCCCTACTTTTAGACGGCATAACTCTGTGAACTGTTGACAAAAAGACCAAAACCAGTCTTGTCAACTCCAAGTTCTGAGTCAAAAGCCTCCTTCATGTGAATTAAAAAGACTGTAAATTAAGAAACAAGACTGTGGCTGTAAGTCATAGAAGCATGGAATGCCTGAATTGGACGGGACCCACAAGGACCATCAAGTCCAGCTCTTGGCACCATACAGGACATCTCCAACAATCTCACAATGCTCCTGAGAGTTTTTTCAAATTCTTCTTGTCCTCTGTCAGGCTGATGCTGTAACTACTACCCTGGGGAGCCTGTTCCAGTGCTCAACCATCCCCTAAGCAAAGAACCTCTTTCTAATATCCAACCTAAACCTCGCAGACACAACATTCCCTTGGGTCCTGTCACTGGTCACCACAGACAAGAGATCAGTGTCTGCCTCTCTTCTTCCCCTCACAAGGAAGCTGGAGGCTGCAATGAGGTCTCCCCTCAATCTCCTCTTCTTGAGGCAGAACAGACCAAGCGACCTCAGCCTCTCCTCACACAGCCTCTCCTCCAGACCCTTCACCATCGTGGTTGACCTCCTTTGGAGCTCTCCAACAGCTTTGTATCTCTTTTATGCTATGGTGCCCAACGCTGCCCCCAGCACTGGAGGTGAGGCTGCCCCAGCTCAGAGCAGAGCAGGACAATCTCCTCCCTTGCCCAGCTGGTGATGCTGTCCCTGATGCCCCCAGGACAGGGTTGGCCCTCCTGGCTGCCAGGGCACTGCTGGCTGATGTTCAACTTTCCACCAACCAGGACCCCAAGTCCCTTTCTGTGACACTGCTTACCAGCTTCTCATTCCCCAGTTTGTCAGTACATCCAGAGGCTGCCCCTCTCACGTGCAGAATCCAGCTCCTACCCTTGCTAAAATTCACATGGTTGGTGGCTGCTCAGCTCTCAAATTTGTTGAGGTTTCTGTGTAAAGCTTCTCTGCCTTTGAGGGAGTCAAGAGTTCCTCCAAATTTTGTATCATCCGCAAACTTATTTAGTATCCCTTTGAGTTCTGAACCCAAGTCATTGATCGAAATGTTGATGAGCACTGGGACTAAGATACAGCCCTGCAGAACCCCACTAGTGACCAGTCACCAGCCTAAATTCACTCTGTTCACTGCAACTCTTTGTATCCAACCATGAGCCAGTTGCTCACCGATCATATGTTTATTCAACTGTCGTAATTCCTTCTAGAAAATATTGTGAGAAAAAGGAAGAGCTGTGGCATAAGATTTGCACATCAATTAGGAATTCATACAGAAATCCTTTGGTTTTACATAGAACTCGGTTCCCATGACAAGGGGACATCTAAGAACCTCATCTTGGTCTTCACTAGAAAATTTAATTTAGGGTGAATTATAGACTCATGACACCAGATTATATTATCTAAACTGACACTCCATTTCAGTAAATTATTATCAGTTCAAATGGAAACTACAGCTCATCTAGATCAGTTTTGACACCTGCAAAAAAAGAGTTCACAAATGAAAGCATATTTTTTATCATAAAAGCATAATTAGAATTGTAGTGGCTAGTTGAATAAATAGCTTAGGCTCTACTGCCATAACCTTTTTACATATCTGCATACATACCTATATAGTCTCCTGAGACAAATCTGCTTTTGTTGTTGCTGCACGAGTTACGTATATTTTTATTTATTTGATATCAATTTTATTGCTGTTATCTATTTATAAATTCCACTTCCTAATATAATAATAATATAATTCTGAAGGGTTTTCCAGATTACAATCATGTTTAAATCTATGGTATTGATATTTAAATCTGTGGGCCACTATTTAAAACCTTTAATAGAAAAATAACCTTTAGAACTATACAAAATAAAGGAAATTTTGCATTTTCTGGCTAAGAAATTTTTTTAAAGTTCCTTGCTACACTTCAAAACCATTTTTACTTAATATCTGATCAGATATCTGTACTATTTTATCCCAGAGACACTCTGCTCCATAATGTTATCCTACTTCAGGTAAGATTTTAATTACACATTACCAGAAGTAAAACACTCTCACCTTAAAAATAGGAAAAACATGCACCTAATCATCTTGTCCCAAAAGCTTTAGATAGTGCATACAATATAAGTAATGGAAAATAATCTCAAAAGCTTTTCTTCCTTCTTTATAAATAGATATATTTTCGTTTTAAGATTTTTAATTCCTATGCAGAGAAAAAAACGTAGAAGGTAAAACTTTTGCAAAATCCCTACTGCCCAAGTAAACAGTAATCACATGTATCAAGGCACAATCTCAGCTGTAATAATTTGTCACAGTTTAATTCCCAGCCATAATTTCTAGCTACTCTTTTTTCCCTCTACAGAACTGTCTGTCTCCAGAGTTAGCTGGAGATGTTATGTTAATGTCCTTTATTAGTACTTCCATTTAGCTATTATACTATAACTATTCCTCTGTGTAATTCCATCAAGGAGATCCAAGCTCTTACCGTGTTGTTGGGGTGGTAGTTGAGATGCAAACCACTGTCACATAAGGGAGAGGATGTGCCACTGCTTTGGTCACTGGGGGCACCTAATACAAATACAAATTCATAGAAAAATTCTTCGTTAATCTATGATGACATAATTCCAATTTGTGTACGCATATATGCATTCTCCCCACACCCAAATAACTTCTATCATATATAACATATATGTTATATATGTTATATGAATATATATATATATATATATAGTCATATAGTCATTCACTTTCTCCATTCAGCCAGCATCTGTATTCTGGCTTAAGTGGAATGCCTTGTAAGTTAAATGGAAGCTCAAGAAAACTTTTCCCAGTGTTTTGATAAAAAAAAGTTAATACCTGCTTGTTAAGAAAAAAAAAAATCCCACAACGCTTCTTTCAAATTCGACAACAAAAGGACTACCTTCTCTGTTAGTTTTTACTTGAAGGAACTTGTCAGATAACCCTTTTGTTACTCTCAGTGGAGCTTACAGTTCTAAATGTTTCTTGCAATGGTTAAGGAAATTACAGTGCTATGCCTCAAAAGTGACATAGGATGCATGCAAATGCACATGCCAGTGCATCACTCAGGCTACTCTGTGCTACTACAGCCTTTCATAAAAGGGACAAAGGTACTGGGACACATTTTTATTTAAGAATACAGTGTTCCTATTTTTGTCTTGTTTCATTTGAATTTAATACATAGGCAAAAGAAAAAGACAATATTCCATCAAATGTTTGTATAAAATGCTATTTAATGATTTAGATTATTTAATTCCTGCTAACTTAAAATCAAATTCTAGAAGTACTGAAATCAAATATTTATTGCATTGTTGCTTAAAACTTGAGCAATTTGGTTCACTCTCTTAGGCAGCAAAAAGAAGAAGGAAAGAAGAAGGTGGCAAAAGGCACAAGCTGATATATTAATATACTTAGATATGCTGTAATTGTCTATAATTATGCATCCAGACTTACAATTTAATATAATTAAAGGAAGGCAGCTGTCTCTGTATGGCTCTCATGGGGCTAAGTTCACTAAAACTCAGTTTGGACTAAAACAAAATACTTATCATTCTAGAGTAATTTATTCTTAGGTAAACAGACATTTCCACCAAAGCCTCTGAATTTTAAACAGCAAAGTTAAGAGTTAAGTCCTCTAAATATACACACACAATCTCATTTTCATATTTACAAGAAAAAACTCCCTGGGACTAAAATGCTGCCCAAAAAACCTGATTTTAAATACTCTGCACCAGGATGTGAGCTATTGCAAACTAATGTAATTCTACACTTTTACCTGCAACTTTACTGATTCACACCAGCCAAATGCCCAGTTATCTGTCTTTCAACCATAGATAGCAATTTTTCTCTTGAGGTCAGTGTTAACACAAGCCCTGGCAATCGGAGCAACTCATATTTAGGCAGTAATGCTGCTTGTAAAAGCTGCTGTCAATCACCCTCAATGCACAGTAGCTTCAGAAGCTGCAAGCGTTCATGGGTATTGAATTGAGGGTTCTTTTGGCCAAGTAATAAAGGCTTACATGCACAATCTTCATTCAGTGGCAGTTTAAGAAAAGCAGGTGCTCTTTTCAGAAAGGACACAGTTAGGGTCACTTCTTCCCCTGCGTTGCGAAGGACCTGCACCTGGAAAAGAAATATAGGCAGACACCTTGAAATAAATTTATGACCCAAATGCATTAGCAAAGGTAAGCAAGACCACACAGCTTTCCATACCATATAACTTATTGGAAGTTTATTGCAATTACATTTGTTTGAGAAGAAAGCAAGACATAAAGCTTGCTATGTGCTTGTCTATTGTGTTTCTAGCCACACATACAGTTAATGGGGCGAGGGGGGCATTAGCTTCCTATATTAGTGCTGGCTTTGACCTGTGCTGTTGCAGAACTTGCTCCTTGAAACTATTCAGCTATGTAAGTCCTCCTTTCAGGCCTGGAATCATCTCCCTTAGCACATATTTACTTTAAAAAAATAAATATGTATTTTCTCTACTCATTTTTCTCTACGCATATATATTTTCTCTTGTCATATAAATCCTCAACCAAAATAACAGCAGCAGTTTCCACAGCTGTGCCATAATCCTATGAGCAAGTCTTTCCAACACTCAGAGTTAAATTTAGCTGAAGCGCTCCAGCATGGATGAGAGACCTAATCTTCATCACAGACACAGAGGAAAAGAACCTATCTTCAGTCTTAAATCTTAGATAAGCATGAGCTTAGGTTTTGCCAAAGGGCAGCTTGCATTTTGGACATTGAATGTGCAAAGCACCTATCTAGCTGTGAATACTTTCTGCCTTCCTGTAATCTCCCATAGTTACCCCTCTGGCTTTTGCTCATTCTTTGGCTTTTGTGGGGTACAGCTGTAGACACCCCAAGCATACAGCAGGGTGAGGGACTCCAGGCATCTCCCAAGAGTAGCAGTAAGGAGGCACAAAATCATCTAAGCAAAATGCTGTATTAAATAGCTGAGGAAGAATGTTTGAATTGGCTTATGAGAGCCAAGAAGAATCAGATCTGTTTCAGAGAACAACCGTTTCCTGTTCTAGCTCTATAACTTTAAAACTCTTCAAGGGCTGATTTAATTTGGGCTTACAGTGACAGAAGATTGTGCCTTGCCTCTCTTTGAGTGACTCTGTTCATACTGTGCAGAGAGCCAGCTCACAGGCAGCCACATTCAGAGAGTTGTAACACAGTGAGACATTAGGCAAACATTTTAAACTAGCACAAATCTATTCCCTTTCTCCTGTGTAGCTGGATAACACACACAGGTAACCCTTCTGTCATACTGCTGCTTGTGAGAAAGCCTTGTAAATAATTTATGAAACATTGTTAGTATTTAATTATGCCTGTCAATAACCTACTCAACAGATTTATTTACATGCATGTGGATAATTATACATTGGGATGGTTTCACATGAAATCACTGTATCATTATGCCATTAACTTAAAGCAATTCTTCAGAAAAAATGTCAACTTTGCCTCGAAATGCAGTATTTCCTACTCCATGCTGGTTGCCACAGAGGAGTAACAATATGATGACAGATTATTTGATTCAGTAACTTAAATTTTAGGGTCTTTATTGTTTAAAATAGCACAGTGGTTGCCAATGCACATTTTGCAGTTTAGTATGTATTTATCTGTATGTGTGCAAATAAACACAGAAACATAACAACAGATTTAATAACTTATACTGCATGCCAAAAACTTAATCTGCAACACAGAATCATAGAATCATTTAGGTTGAACCATGAGTCTCTTTGATGAGCAGTTCCCAGTTCTGATGCACTTTCTATCTCAAAATTTGTAAGCAGCAATTATTTCATAAAAAGATGACTTGTAATGTGCAGAAAAGTAGACCAAGACTCGGAACTCCTGAATTCAACCAGAGAAACCATCCTATAGCCATAGAAAATCCATTCTTTTACTCTTTTATGTAGCAGTCATACAGTTCAGAGTAGTCAGAGCCAAAGTAGAAACTTACAGGTGTGTACTCTACTATTTTGACAGATGTGCATAGACAAAGAGCAGGATAATACAGCTACTCTCTGCTGTTAAAAGGAAGTATTTCTTTTTACTCAGGAACAGAGAATAAATAAGTGAAGTTACAGAGCTACTAGCTTTAACTTATAAAGTCACCTTTTAAGAAAAGAATAAGTGGATATCATCTGTGAAAGAGGCTGAAACAGTAACTGCCCTAAATCGTTCTTCCAAGTGTCTGCATGATTTCACTTGACAATATATTGCTTTGCAAAGCCTGTAAGAGGCCATAAGTAGTCTACTGTGACCTTTTTTCCTAACCTCTCTCTCCCTCAAACCTCTTTATCTCATAGGATGAAAACTTTAAGCTGGAATACATTTCAGTTGAAATCAGCAATACTTATATCAGTGAATTGTATTTTGCAGTGTATGAAGCATATAATCCAGAAAGTGACTAGATTTTGACATGCAGAATAAAGACTAAAGAGAGAAAAAAAGATTAAAAGAGAAAACTTCTAGGTAATGATTACAACAAAGAGCAGATGAGTTATCGATCCCATTTTGCTTATTTTCTAGTCATTAACAAAGCCATCCTGGGAAATAAAGTTCAGTGAAGAAAATGAGAATTTTAATTACTTTATTGTCTCTTTGTAGCTTTCAGTTGAAAGCTTTATTGTTATTTTACATTCTTTTTCTTTACTTTGCATAAGAAATGAACAATCAAATTACTAAAGATAATTCTAGCCATAAATAATAGTCTGTATCAGTAATGAATTTAAATTAGGGCCTCATTCCCACTGTGTATAAATGGTTAACAAAATTCAATATTACTGAAACATATCTATATAAATAAAGAGATTTTCAGTTCATTACTGCTAATAGAAAAGCCATCTCTAAATTTGCATAAAAGAAAAATATTTAAAACATTTTGCAATCCTGGTTGATGGCAAGTAGAATGTGAGTCAGCAGTGCCCTGGGAGCCAGGAGGGCCAACCCTGTCCTGGAAGGCATCAGCATCACCAGCTGGGCAAGGAAGGGGATTGTCCTGCTCTGCTCTGAGCTGGGGCAGCACAGGGCACCACAATAGCAAAAAGGACATGAAGCTGTTAGAGTGTCTCAACGACAGCCTTGAGGACAGTGAAGGGCCTGGAAATGGAACCTTACAAGGTCACTTGGTATGTGCAGCCTGAGGGTGAGGAGACTGAAGGGAGACCTCACCAAGGTCTTCAACACCCTTAGTCAGGAAGAGGAGGGGCAGGTACCAATCTCTTAATTCCCAGGACCAGTGACAGGACTCGAAGAAACACCATGAAACTGAGTCGGGGAAGTTTAGTTTGGATATCAGGAAAAGGTTCTACGCTCAGTGGTTGAACACTGGAACAGGTTCCAAGTGGTCAAAGCACCAAGCCTGACAGAGTTCAAGAAGTGCTTGGACAATGCCTTGAGGCACATAGTGTGATTCGTGGGGTGCTGTGCACAGGAGTTGGACTTGATGTTCCTGATGGGTCCCTTCCAACTCACCATATTCTATGATTTTCCCTAGTATGTGAAAAGGTATAAGTGAATCCAACTTGTTCAGAGTGAACAAGAAACTTATTTTTGAGGGAATACTAATTTTGATTAAATATAAAAATATATTTTCAAAAATTTCAGAACAACAATGAAGCAACTTCCTAAGATGATTTTTATCATATATGAAGCGTTTAGCAAAGGTGAGAAAACTCCCCGTGTTAATCCAGGGAGTATTTGTATGACAAAAACTCAGTAGTAGACATAACATTTCCAATTTCTAACTAGGTTATATATTCTCATTCTATGCTATGGATAAACTCCCTTCAGAAGACATGTGGCAATTTCTAAAACAATGCATTCTAAATTGCAGAAAATGCATGACCAGACATTGTTAAAAAGATTTGCTTATTTTTTATGTCATTGAAAGGTAATGATCTGTTTTATTTCCAGAGGCTATATTAGACTATTCAAGATGCATGTTGTTTTGGGGTTTTTTTGGTTAATATTTTTGAGATATTCTATGAAGCATTAGATTTTAGGCATATGAATTGACCTATGTCAAGTTTTAAATTTTCTAGTTAAAAATTAATAATAGCAACACTCAATATGTTGATATAGAGGTAGTATGGATTATGGATTAAACAATGAAAAACTATTTAGTACCACTGCTACTACTTTATTTAGCTTTATTTTTTAATTTCAGCTAGCAAGTAATACAAGCCAGTTATTTGTTGGTGCACAGCATCTCACAAAGTCCTCCCTGTAAGAGGAAGAAGCCATGACACCGAAAAATCTTAACATCTCCACATCAACATTATGGCTATATGTATATTAAATTCCTGCTGCTATTTTAAAAATCATATATATATATATATATATGATTTAGAATGAGTTCATGTGGAAAGAACTTCACAAACAGAAACATTAAATATTGTCAATACACTTTCTTATACGAAGTATAACCTTACTACCAGTGGGACCAAGAATTAATTTACTTCTACCCCAAATAGCCCTATATAAAGTTAGGATGTTCATGAATGAAGTGAGATAGGCAAAAAACCCAGTTGTGCATATCTGAGCCAGTAGCTGTGTGAAACAGTGACATTAAGAGAGTCAGTTTCTGGAGTGACAGTGACTATATTTCTATGCAATTACTGTAATGACTGTAAGGGGACTATTTGGAAAAATAAATTTTATGGTGATGTGTGATATTGCTGAAGAAAATATCTACATAGTAACAACACTAATCTGAATTTTTAATAATGTCTGCAATGATAGTGCCTTTTAATTTTATAAACTCTTTTAAATTCCCAGTTCAAGAAAACATTTGAGCATATGCTGAAGTCTCTCTCAATATATTCAGGAAAGCAATGAAGCATGAAGTCCCTCTGACTTCAGTAAGTATTCTTTCCTGAATAACACTGTAAATCCCCTCTCAAATTACCAGTGAAATTTACCTACCAATAAAGTAATAAGGATTTAAAACAGAACACTTCTTTAGATCCCAAGATCTATGTTCTCTTGAACTGGAGCAAATTTCACTCTTCAGTTTTTAAAGAAAAATTCAATTTATTGGTAAATACCTTGAACTATAAACATTGGGAAAATAGAAAAAAAGAGAAAAGGTAGAAGACACC